GCACTGTGCATGGCACGGTGCGCCGGCTGCGGTTGCAAGTATAGTTTTTCGTATAAGGTGGAAACAGGACACATGATCTGTTCTATAGCCAGTACGCATTTCTGTGTCTATGAATACAGCAAAAGAGAAGAAAAAGAAAAAGAAATTGCTGCTCGTACGGTGCATGGGCAGGTGCTGCACTGCACTGTGCATGGCACGGTGCGCCGGCTGCGGTTGCAAGTATAGTTTTTCGTATGAGGTGGAAACAGGACAGGGAAAGTAAATTATTCAGTGAGGACGTCGAGGAGTGAAAAACAATGGAGGCGTGTTTCACAACTTTCATTTACTGACAGAGCGAAAGTCGTTGCGGAGTCACAGTGAAAAGGGAAGTTTGATGCAGGGGCAGCAAGTGAAAATGAGCAGGATGAAGCAATGGACAAGGAGCAGATTTCTACGAAGAGCGGGGCTCACTCAGGGTGGATGGTATGCGCATGTAGTTGCTGGTAAACAGATCATGAGTTCGAATCCTGAAGGAGCCAGATCTGATATGAATGCAATCACCGAGGGTGCATGGAGGATTAGGTGGAGGAGGAGAAACCGACCGAGTTATAGATTGTGAACTTGAGGAGGAGGCTGAAGTTCAGAAGAAAAAGAAAAATGAGGATCTCGAGTTCGCAGAGTGCGTCCGTCTTGGCCCCAAATAGAACATACTGGGTAGTTATTGCTCTATCTTCACTGCAAGCTGACTGTACATTATATTCGGGGGAAGACGGCTTTTAGATGGGACTGTACTTCCCCGGAGTAGAAGATAACGGCCATTATAGCTGTATTTGGAGCCATTTTCAGTCGATATACAGTGATAATGAAGGTGCATTCTATGCAGAGGAAGACGATAGAAGGGTGTGAAACTGGAAAGCGAAGAAATGCAAGGCAGAAAATACCAAATCCCCCAGCCATAACAGAGGGAAGCGTGAAGCGACATGGCAGAATAACCATGACAGAGGGAATCTGGGAGTACGGCAGAAATAACAATAACAGAGGGAATCCGTGAGTACGGCTGAAAATAACCATATCAGAGGGAATCAGGGAGTAAGTTATGGAAGGGATGCAAGACCAGGTTTCCTGCAAATAATAAAAACCTCACTTTTTTTTCCCTTCAGTAAGAAAGGAAATAGCACATGTTCTTGGTGAGAGCTGATACCAGATATACAATATATTTGTAGAGGCATCTAGAGTATACAGGGTGCAGCGGGCATCGCCGGAGTGCAAGCTCGACAGAGGTTTTGAACTTTTGATCATACAGAAGTGTCTACTTACAGAAATAACCATAACAGAGGGAATCCGGGAGTAATGGAAGGGATGCTCCTGGACCTGATTTCCTGCAAACAATAAAAACCTTATGTTTTTTCATTAAAAGAAAGGAAATAGGCTTCAGATCGCAGGTATTCTTGGTGAGAGCGGATACCAGATATACAATATGTTTGTAAAGGCATCTGACGCAACCAGAGTATACAGGGTGCAGTGGGCTCCACCGGAGTGACTGGGTCAGAGGCAAGGTCGACAGAGGTTTTGACCATACACTGGCATACGGAAATTTCTACGTACATGGACTGTACTCTTAACTTCCCAAGTGATTTAGAACAGTAGCTGGTGTGCCTGGGGTCTCAGAAATGAGTGAAAATGATGGAGCCGGGGGTTATATGGAAAGGGGGGGGCAAGGAGGCAAGGGGGTGATGGAAACAGAGGTGAGAGAAAAATGGAGGGCAAAACAGCAAATCACAATGTCCCCAGAGTAAGCACAGGCGGCGGTGTAGCTCCACTCCATGGAACAGAGACCAGGAATGGAATACACAAGAGGCACAGAGGCACAAGCCGGTGTCGGGACTGATGTGGCCTGTACGTGCTGAAATTCTAAACGAGCTTTTTCACTCCCCTACAAAAGTGAAGAGCTGCATTGAGCAGAGATGCTATTTGTCGACTCGCCAGATAAGCCAGGCTATTGTTATGAAATTCCTCGCAGAGTTGGTGATGAACTGTTCGGCACAACGGCATCTTGCATGGGTATGGAGAAGAAAGATTCACCGATACAAGCACTCCGTATCGCACACAATAAAGAACAAAGTTCGAGTCGTAACGAGGGAACCAGCCAGGCATCCAAGTAAAGACAGCAGTGGCACGCAGAGATTCCTGAATCCAACCAAGTAGATCAGACGATAATACGAGTTTTATCATCTTACTTCCACCGACAGAGAAGCGACTGTAGAGAAACGATTGTCTAAGGAGACGATCATTCCTCACCCACAGACAGCGGGCTTCCCTCAATGCGACATCGTTCGACGAAGGAGGACGATACCAGAGCCTTGCCTCCTTTTATCCCTACCCGACTGCTACAGCGATACACATGGAGACTGGAGAGCAAAATCCCATGAAAGTCGTTGAAGTGAAGCAGACAGCGTCACCTACCGTAGAGATTCAGCGATACAGGAAGAAGAACCATTCTAAAGAAGCCCCGAAAACTGAATTTGACACGGCGAACAAGATGGCGCAGAGACGAGAATGAGAATGAACCAGCACGGACAAACAAACACGAACAGAAAAACATACAAATCCGTGTGGTCTGGGGTGAAGCGCCAGGCCAAGAGCAGAAGCATCCACCCGAGAAGATGTTCAAGGGCGCGAGTCGAAAGGCAGAGGAATGTGAACGCATTGTTGCAAGGCCACAGCACAGTCGTCGGTTGGAGTTGAGAGGAGACACAGAAGCATTCTCCCGGTAGATGTCCTCGAAACGGTCTCGTATGGCAGAGGCAGCTTTTACGGATGCCCAGGAGGCCCGCACTGTCACTCCAGCGCTGTCAGCCAGAGAAGAGCCCAGAAGGTATGGGTGGGAAATCAGAGTAGGGCGCAAAACAAGGCCATGCCGAACTCACGGCCTACAAAACGAAATGCTCGACCGAAGGCCAAACCGAGAAAGCAAAAAAAACACAAGGCCAAAAGCCACTGGGCCCCTTCCGCCAGTAGGGAAAAGAAAGCATATACCCAGTGTTGCACCTACGCATTACTGATATCTAACATTTCACAAGGAGTAGATGCTTGTGCTGAGCATAATCTATTTTATCTGAGAGCAGATGCAAAGATGTTTGACCTAATTTTTCTGCATCCAGTCTTTTTGGAATCTTAGGCATTCTCTGCATCATTGTTTCAACCTGAACGACTAGTGTGAATTCCTTTTTGCACAAAAACCTTTAGGGGCAAGACCCACAGGGCCAAAACTCTGAACGTCAAAACCCACAAAGGCATTGAGGGCCTTTTTTGTGGCCAGTTTGGCGGAATAGCCAAACTCCAGCCGTGATGACAGAGTTTTAGTGGCATAATGTCTGTCTTGGACAGATTGTAATCCCGAACGAATACGACGTTCTGAACTTCTGAGCCCTTGTGGGTTTTGGAAAATGGCACAAGTAAAGATGAAGAACAAGGGTGGGTGGGGGTGAGTGAATGCTCAAGTAGGAAGATGAGGAAAGGTGATGGGTGGGTGAGTTTGTTCATGTAACGCCTGTCAGTGAGCAGTAAAGGGGGAGACAGTTGGCGTCGAGGACTTGGCCTTGCCTGGAGTGCTGGGCCCTGGCTCACTTCCAGGGTTTGGTTAGCTTTTCCCAGGCTCCGTAGTGTTAAGTACTTTAGTAGCTTAACTTACGGGTGGAAGACGAATTTAGGTTGTCACTGCTATAGAAGGAAGCCATAACTATACAGTGGCGGCTGTGACTGAAGGAAAGCCCAGCAGGGCGCAGATGACCACAATAGTCTAGATGGGCTAGCCGGGGTCTGCAAACAGCTTGGGGGTCTAACTAGGGTCTTAGCCTTCAGCTTAGGGATAGGGAGGGATTGGCTGGCTGTTTGACCAATTCTTCCATGACCCTTCTCCGGGACCCTTCTCAATCCTTCCGTCTGGTCTTGTCTTATATCAGGCATGCTGCTGCAATCAAGGTATATTGAATTACACCTTCCGAAGGTTACAGCATAAAGCATTGGCTGTTATTCTCCTGTGAAGCAGTCAGGTGGGCCAAGTTCTAGACCCATTCTATGAATAGGGTGAATTGGTTGTAAGGAGAGGATATTGATTGGACGTATCTCATCATTTTACTCTCCTTCGCAATGATATCTCCGCCTCCCTCCTGCCTATGCCTGATATGCACCCGTTTCTCTGGGATGGTAGAACTTCTCCTTTTATCCACAGTAGATGAAGGTTGTGGTTACGGTTCTAGCCCCAACCATGCGTCAAATCCAGTTTCCCAGTAATTCAGGCTAACTTAGGCAGGGGTGAAGGGTGGTACATC